TTGACAACCACAGCCCAAAATGGTTTTGACAACCACAGCCCAAAACGGTGTTGACAACCACAGCCCAAAACGGTGTTGACCACCACAGCCCAAAACGGCTTTAACAACCACAGCCCAAAACGGCTTTGACAACCACAGCCCAAAACGGTTTTGACAACCACAGCCCAAAACGGTGTTGACAACCACAGCCCAAAACGGTGTTGACAACCACAACCCAAAACGGCTTTGACAATCACAGCCCAGAACGGTTTTGACAACCACAGCCCAAAACGGTGTTGACAACCACAGCCCAAAACGGTGTTGACAACCACAGCCCAAAACGGTATTAACAACCACAGCCCAAAACGGTGTTGACAACCACAGCCCAAAGCGGTGTTGACAACCACAGCCCAGAACGGTTTTGACAACCACAGCCCAAAACGGTGTTGACAACCACAGCCCAAAACGGTGTTGACAACCACAGCCCAAAACGGTGTTGACAACCACAGCCCAAAACGGTGTTGACAACCACAGCCCAAAGCGGTGTTGACAACCACAGCCCAAAACGGTGTTGACAACCACAGCCCAAAACGGTGTTGACAACCACAGCCCAAAACGGTGTTGACAACCACAGCCCAAAACGGTTTCGACCACCACAGCCATGTCACCTCCGCTCCATTCGGCTCCTTGGCTCGGTCCGGCCCCCCGCCTCGTTGGCTCCTTGGCTCTTCTTCAAAAGCTCCCGCAGGCGGTGCTGGTGGCAATCCGACCGCAGCTGCTCGTAACGGAGCCTTCGATTCGCCGTCGAGGCAAAGGTCGGGTGAACTTGGAGCCGTGCCCAAAAAGGGTCCCTTCAGAAACTTGTAATATGTGTTGCTTGCTTGGTGGTGTGTTTGCTTCTTTGTGATTGTTTTCTTTGTTTGTGTCTTGGCGTTCTTGTGCCCTTGTGTGTTTCTGTGTGTTGTCTATGTGATTGCTTGTGTCTTGGTGTTATCGTGTATTTGTGCGTGTGTTGTTTGTTTGTTTGTTTGTTTGCTTGCTTGCTTGTTTCTTTGCTTGCTTGTTTGATTGCTTGCTGGCTGGCTGGCTGGCTGGGTTGCTTGCTTGACTGTTTGCTTGTTTGTTTGTGCATGTAGTTGCTTGTTTGTTTGATAGCTTGTTAGCTTGTTAGCTTGTTGATTTGCTTGATTGTGGGCTTATCCAGTATTACTTTGTTTATTCTATATACATCTGTACTTTTTAGTTGTGTATTTCATTTCTTCATTGGTGTTTCTGCATTTCAATATTTCCATGAATGTTTCACTATGCATGTCTTTCATTGTTTTGTTATCTATATAGTTCTTTCGTTGTGTCTTTGTGTGTATGTGTCTTTGTGTCTGTGTGTGGTTTGCGTGTGTTTTGATTGATTGTTTGTTCGTTTGTTTGTTAGTTTGTCTGTCTGTCTGTCTGTCTGCGTGATTTTTTAGTGTGTGTTTTTGTTTTTTTCTTGCATGGTTGGTTTGCTTGTTTGCTTGTTTGTGCTTGCTTGTGTGGTTGCTTGTTTGTTTGATTGTTCGTTTGCTTGCTTGATTGTTTGCTTTTGTTGTTGGGGTACCCCAAAAACAAAATTCCACAGGAGTATGTGTCAAAGAAGTTTGGCACCCATAGGTTGGTGGCATTCTTTAGGTTTCCCTTAGCTCCACAGTGTAGCCCACAAAAAATAACACGCAGAATGGGTGTGTCTCAAAGAGGTAACCCTCCAGGTGCCATCCAAGAACTCAACAAGTTGTGTTTATGATAATTATTTTGATTGTATACTTTGTTGCTGTTGGACCCTCTGCGACAAGCTTAACTTTTTGTGGGCTCAATGAAAAACGCTTGCTTTCCCCAAAAAAAAGTCAAAGTCCAAAGATCCAACCGAATCGCCAAAAGTATACGTCCACGTAAATCAAACACTGGTTCCGCCAACTGGTGCGGCAGCGCGGGGACCCGCTGACTTTCGCACACAAATGCGACCCCGCATCCGCACCCCAATAAAATCCTATAGTCATGACTCAATTTGGTTTCATAGCATGAAACTCTCATAGGTTTCTCAAAAAATCATCAACCCATTTTGGTGACCCGCGCCTGAGCGTCCCCACGACCTCCTCCTTGCCATCCTCGCGCTCGAGCACATCGAGGGCGCGGCCCACGTCCAAAGACACCAGGCGGTAGCTGCAGCCCGCAGCGCCCGGGCACCTCGCAAGGGGCCAACCAGCCAACGAACTGAACAGGGGGAAAACAAAACAACAACATACATCACACAGATAGAGAGAATAGGACAAACAGACCAACGGAAAATCAAACAAACAACAAAACAAATCAAAAATTCAAATAATCAAAGAATCAGTGTCATGGTCAACAAGCCAGCCAACCGAATACCTGCGCCAACCAGCTGAACAGGGGAATAGAGATGCAAACAAACGGAGAGACAGACGGACAAAGAGACAAGCGGAAAATCAAACAATAAACAACATGGAATAATCAATGGTCAAACGGTGTTGCTATCAAGAGATTGGAATGTGTTCGACAAATCTAGTTCTTATCATGCTTCCCTATTTCGTTCATGACCGTCCCTAACCTCAGCGACAACACAGACACACACAAACAGCAGGTCCTGAACATAGGCGTCCTTTTTGGGAAAATAGATGGCCCTGGTAGTTGATTGAACCACCAGGTAAACCAGGAATCGCCCTCTATTGTTCAACCAAACCAACCGAAAAAGACACCTATGGTCCTGAAGTTGGTTGAAAAACCTAGGTCCTCCAGTAGAGAGGCTAGAATAAGGGTACCCTTTTTTCTGTAGCCCATTTCAGTAGGGGAACCCTCCCCCCCCAAAAAAAAAGGGTGAGAAAGGGCACTACTGGGGGACCAAGAGCAGGTCCTGAAGTTGGTTGAAAAATACTGCGAAGCAACTGGCGTCCCTTGACTGGGGGGAGGGTGTGCCGCAGTCCACCTGGCGAATGGTTTTTCTGGGATTCGGACCGCGAAAAATGGGCGGCTCGTCGTTTTGGATTCTCTTTGAACCCGTCCAAACAGGGGACGAAAAAGACGAGCCACCGTGACAGGAGTCCGACTCTAAAGCCAAGTCTAAACTCTGAGGTGGCTGGGAACCAAGTAAACATGAAACAAAACTCCAACTTGGAAACTAAGATGAGCGTGTCTTTTCTTTAACGCAACCCCCCTTTGGTTTTAAACGAACTCCAAGCGTCGAAGAGGAAGCCTTTTGGGGGCCTAGTTTGATCGAATTCTTGAATTCGAAACTGTCCCAAAGGGTCGCTTAGTACCGTATCTGTGCCGGATTTGAGCAATCCATTGATGAATCTCCGTTCTCCCCAAACCCAAAACCGCAAATATGGAGTAGGGATCTCCAGGGCAAATACTGCGGATGGACCAAATCCTGCACCACCGTTCAGAAACCCTGGTTTCTGAACCGATTCTACCAACAAACGTTATACCTGGAGTCTCCATGACTCTTTAAAACTGGGTCAATGACCAACCATGATTTTGGGTAATGACCAACCATTTTTGAAGGGTCAGAAGGAGACTCCAGGTAGTCATAGGCTACACGTGAGCGACTTCGCCCGCCGTTTTGTCGCTCGCGCCTCACGTTGTAGCGGCCCTCGAGGAGTTGAATCTCCACGTGCTGGGCGAGGCAGCGCCAGCAAAGGCCATGGCCGTCACAGGCGTGGTTCTTCCAGCTGTGGTTGTGCATGGTCGCCTTGGACTCAGATGGCTGGGACTGTCCCTTACTAACCTTCACTTGCCCGGGTTGTGATTGTGACTCTCATTGGACTTAGGCTCCCTCTAAGTGGTTTTGACTGGTGTTTTGGTGATCGGGGTTTAACGACGTGTTTTCATTTACCCTCAAATTTGTCGGCTTGGTGGTTTACAGGTTCGGGGGGTTGCAAGAACCCGTTCAAATCCCAAACCACCAAGTACGGGTTACCTGACAAACTGGGCCAGGCATTGGCCTGTAACAATCAACTGGCGCGTGCACCCCACATTCATTGCGGCCAATTCCCTGCAAAAAAATATCCAAACGTGTGCTAGCCCATTGCATGGTTACGCGAACTAATGCTACTCAGTATGCTGTTTTCTTGGATGTCTACTGCTGGTGCTTTTGGGTCCACCCCAGAAGCAGACATTTTGCGGCCACTGGGAGGGGTTCTGCCAAGCCCTCATTCAAATCAGGAGTAGACCCTCCAAAATGGTCCACGAGATGGCGCTCCAAGATTATTTCTGGCCACCACAAGCTCTAGACCAGGAAATAAAATCACCTCAAAATGGCCAACCGGCTGCTCAACAGAATTGCCAAGCTCCTGTTTTACGTAGCCTCTTTCTTTTAAGCATCAACAGCCACATGCACCATTTAACAACAACCTTACTCTCCTCGACATGGAACCACGCAAGAGCGCACCCCCTTTGATCTCCGGATTTGCTGAAGCCCGGGTTGTTTGATGTCCATGTTCTTCCGAAGGGCCACCTACCCTTCAATGGAAGTGCCCAGGCTCCCTCCCTCGAAAAGGACGGTGGTCTTCTGCAAGCAAAGGTCTCCCAGCACGTGTGCATTTGCATGCTCGGTGCGAGCCGACTAGCATTCACCCAAAAACAACACTCGAAATTTGTAGAGAGAGAGAGAGAGAGAGAGAGAGCCCCATTTTGGAAGGAGCAACCGCCTGTTCGTTGGAGCTTCCTGTGCAGGGTTCTGAGACATGTTTGTTTGCGTCACTTTTAATAGCAGGTGGCATTGGCCCAATCACCCCTTTCCGCAATCCCACTGAGAAGGGGGCAGAACTTCCAGGCATGCAACTTTACTTTTGCTTCATGTGTTCGATGCGTGTTCTCCTGCCCCAAACAACGAGACTCATCTTCTAAAGCGACAAAGACACATATCCCGAACCAAACAAAAACGACACCCAACAATGAACAATATCCAACAATATCCGTCGCCTGGTTGTTTTCGGTTCTTTTTTCGGTAACCGGCTGAGTCGCATATTCCACGCTCTCAGCATCCTCGAAGCAAACGGGGCAGACCGGCATGGCTAACTGCGATGCCGCGACGCGACTGCGGGGGATGGCAGATGGAAGCTGAGAGCAGGATTCGCGTAGCGGAAAGCGGCCAAATGGGTATGGCTCGGCAAACAAATCGGTTGGTTTCCTTGTGGTTTCCAACAAAACTCCGGAAAGTGTACCCTAAAAAATGTGGCCCTTGGCACTAGATAACCTTTGGCTCGTTGGACAGGAACATGAACGAACCATCAAGGGCCAAACGGGCAAAACAAATAATGGAGTCCGGCAGTTGGGGGCACCCAACCAATCCAAGAGCACACCCCTTTCCAGGCCCCTTTGAACAACCTCAACTGCTTGATAGCGAAGTCAAACAGTCCCAACTAGTCCCTACTGCCCCAAGGACTTCGGGAGGTCGTCCAATTCGAAACCCAAGAAACGGAGTTGACGTCCTATTGGTTTCTTCACACAAGCCAAAAAGGGTGCCCTTCGCAGAAGCACCATCGACTCTGTCGGCGAAGGCGCTTCAACAAGAAACATGCCCCTAACAAAGTCAAAAGCCACCCCTTCCCATCTGTCCACCGTTTCAGGGAATTCGACTCGGCAGGATAGCCTTGCAAGGTGACAGCTGGTAAGCGGAACTGTTGGGCTTGTTTTGGATGAAGAGTCACTTTGTCGGTAAAGAACCAAACAGCTCGAACTCTGTCTGGCCAGTCAACTGAACAGGGATCGAGCTGGTATACCCATGAAGACTTGCCAGTCGAGTTGGCAAACTTTGAAAGGCAGGTTTACGTGGCTTTCTGAAAAAGGGGGTCAAACGCAAATATTGTCTTGGGAAGCAGCTGCCACTTCTATCTTTGTTAATGTTATATGTTCTGGCCAGTGACCCGCGGGATTTCCATTAAAACTATCTCCCCTCCTAAACAAAACAAAAAACAGACTACTAAAACAACAAACAACAGCAACAACGTCCAAGACTTGCGAGGCAAAGGACCGCAGGCACGCTGCTGCTCTGCATAGCCTGCGGATCAGCATGGTTTGAATCTCACCTTTCCCTCCAAACGGGGTTCCGACAGCCACCTTTTGGGCCCGGTTTTCATGTGGCAACTTTCAAGAGCTTCCAACACCTTTGGGTTCCCAACAGGATTTTGTCAGACAGCTCGGCGCCCTTTGGTTGCCCATCCGCAGGTCCATCCGGTGACAGGCTTCAGGTAAATCCTATGGTTCTAGGGGTTGATTCCACATTGGGTTTTTGCTGGTTTCCTGAGACAAGGATCCTTGGAAAGACTGAGGAAGGTACTTCTAGAATGGTGCGTCTGGGATAGCAGATAAAACAAAACCTTTGTTGAGCCCAAGAGACAACAAAGAAGGACCTGATAGGGAGCCCTACGGAACCACAAGCAAAGCTCAAGGGGGTCCTCACTTTGAGCGAACAAGGAACGGGCCCTTTTCAACTCCAAAGACCCCCAAATGATTAGGGCAGGAATTTTGGATGGACCTAAGGCCAAAGAAGGCCCTGTGTTTTCTTTGTGGCAGAGAATTTCAAGCGACAGCTATGAACCAGTTGTTGTCTCTAGGTTCGTTCCCCAAACCTAGGTGATTCCCTGCCCCACATTCTCAGTGGAGTCGGCAGAAAGCTGCTACTTGTCTGCTAAAATGTGTATGAATCTAAACATTTGACATGGAGGATCCTTTGGTGGACATCACGAGGCTTTGACTCTTCCGCGGGCTTATTGAAACTTAGAGCCACATGGATGCTCGCCCTTTTGGTTGCCCATCCGCAAGTCCTTCTGTGGACAGTCTTCAGGCAAATCCTCTGGTGCGTCTGCCGCTTGGTTTTGAGAAGGGGAGCCCCTGGTTTCCAGCCGGCGCGTTTGTTTGGGCCCGATACCCTCAAGTGGCACTCACTCCATGGGAAGTGAGAAGCGAGTTGGGCAACTGGAAATCCTCTTTCAAAGGGTTGGGGTACAGGAAACTCGACCGGAAAACAACCTGTGCATGGATGAAATCCTGCACAACTTAAAACAAATGAAATCATGCCCCCTTTGGTTTCCCGTAGTTTCAAAGTGGTGCAGATTGTTGTCCATCCACAGTATTTACGGCGTTTTGGGGCCACTTCCTGTAAATTGTCCTGCAACATGCTGCAACCAAATCCTTTGACCCTTGTGCATTTAGAACAACTTCCAAAGCTGCAACAAAAAAGGACGCAAGTTGGACATGGGACCCGTGTTCCACGCAAGAACCAGCTGGTGTTGAAAGGCCCCAAATCGACTTTCGAAACCAACAAGGCCATCAATTCGACTTCCACAGTGAATCGTTGGTGAAAAGTGATACCTGACAAAATCCTAACCTGGGCGTGGCGCCAAATTGAAGAGCTAGGGTTGCACAGGTTTTAGTCCTTCCGTTTACCAAGGTGCCGTTTTGGCACATTTCTTTGCGCCACAAGTCGCCCAAATTTAGGGCGTTTCTCAAACTAGCTTAGTGGATCCCCAAATGTTAAGCTCAAGCTTTAACTTTTGCTCACCCCTCAAACCTAGGAATACAAGGTGAGCACGTTAAGGGTACCTTACACCAAAGTTTCTCGTGGACAAAACTGGAAAACCAAAAGGTGAACAGGTAGGTTTTGAACCTAGGTCCTCCAGTAGAGCGGTAAGAATAAGGGTGCCCTTTTTCTCTTTTGTCTATTTTAGTAGGGGAACCCTCCCAACCAAAAAAGGCGTGCGAAAGGGCACCTAGCCGGGACCACCTAGGCGTGGCTCAAAATTAAAGAGCTAAATTTGCTCAGGTTTTACCTCGACTCAAATGGTCCAGCCCCAAAAAAACGCAGTCACTGGTACGTTTATAATGCGCCAGTCGCCTAAATTTGACCTGAGCGCTTCGCTAAAGAGTCGTCGAGTTGTCAGTCCTTGCCTCGAGGATCTCCAGAGCCTTCTGCCAGTCCTTGCCCTTCTCACAAGCCGCCAAGGCGCAGTTGAAGCCTCGCGGAGTCTTGGGTGCTGTAGATCCCCCAGCAAAAAGTTTAACTTTTTGCTGCTTAAAAGGAAATATGAAGGGAATCCAAAAAGTTAAAGTCTAAAGATCCAACCCAATAGCGGTAGAGGAGTTTACCACTAATATTAACCCCGGAGGAATAAATTTCTGGTTGATTTTGATTTGGGGACCCTCACTGCTTGGCTGGAATTAGGTCCCCAGCAAAAAACAATATATTTGCCTGTGCAAAACAAAGGGGATCCCAAAAAAGCAAACAAAAACAAAAAGGGGAGCTAATTCTGGGGAAGCCTGGGCTGTCCGTTTTCTGATCCACGAAAAGTGGCTGACTGGTAGTGGGGTTTAAATGGAAATCCCCCCTAAACACAAAGAAACAAACAAGAAAGCTAAGGGAATGTCTGGGAGCCACCAAGCTCCAACACACCTTTTCAGCATATGGACGCCTTATGAAAGGAATCTCCGCGGAAAGTCTGGGGTGTGCTCAGAAGGTATGTTCGAAAATTCTTGGATTATACGGGTTCTTGGAGGATTCGGCACCAAGTCCTTTGCTTAGTACTTGGGCTGGGACCCCCAAAATGGAGCCACGGTGTTCCATTTTGGGAAAAAGGTACCGAACCTCCAAAAAGACAAACACCCGCATGTTTTCGGATTCAAGCTTGAACAACTAGAAACGCAAGGTATGAAGAACACGCAGAAAACAAGAAGGTATGAAGAAAACGCACAAAACAACAAGGTAAAAGTGTTCCAAAGCAGCAAAGGTACTATGTCAGACGCTTTGAAACTTCTCGCGTTCTTCCTCTTGGCGGTTTGACTATATCGCACATACACAATAATTTATGTGCCATTCCGTAAAAATTTGGTGGTTCACCGATACCACGGCTACGAGGTCAATCGGGCCATCTCGGCAAAGCGCATTGATGGACCTGGGGCTTTGTGGAGCCAGACTATTAAGAGTATCCTGCTGAGTCTTGCTCCACTCGCCCTGGGGCTTAGCTTCCGGACAATTTATGGGGTGTGTATTCCCAGATAAAAGGGAAAAGCAAGGGTAGAACCGATGCCATTTTCGCGCGTCCCTCCTGAAAGACCCACTCCCTCTTCATGTCACTAGGCTACGGATCGGACTGACGCATGAAGGTGCATGTACGTTGCATGACAATGCAAACAAAGCACAGAGCGAGATGCACCCGCCTGTGCTGCTTGAGAGGGCCAACATGTCAGGTCCATTCAACGCTCAGGAAGAAGATAAAACAGAAAGCCCAGAGGGGATGAGTTCCTTCTTTTCGGCCTCAAAAACACACCCTAACATGATTCAAAAAAAGAACACAAACACTAGGACAGGGTCTGAACAACGTATTGGGACCCGGGAGTGTCTGAACATCCGTATGGCTGAGCCAAGCCAAAGGACACGAATTCTGGGGGTCTAAACCAATTTTGGACATTTGTGTAAATCGATCTCGTTTCAGTCCTGGGCACTTGCATCTGTCAAAAAAACATGTGGAACCCCTCGAATGCAATTGGTACCCCTTCAGTATCCCTTCAAAACACTCAAAGATGCCAGCTCCAAGAAGGACAACACCACATTTTTCCCGCGTGAAAACGGCCCCTTTGAAGGCCCAAGCTGGGCCAGTGTCCGACTCGTGGCCGAGAGGCTGATGTGGTTGGCCCATCTCTTCTGCCGCATCCTCGCTGAAGCAAAACTGCCGGAACGTGTTTGAACCCCTTCCACACAACTCCCTACCTGGAGTCTCTATGACCCTTTAAAAATGGGTCAATCACCCCATGTCATGGAGACTCCAGGTACATGTCCATTAAACATTCCCCCACCTCCAGGAAAATGTGTCTTTTGGAGGACACCCGCTTGATGTCGGCCTAAAGATTGAAAGGACGATCCCTTTTTGGCGATCCCAAAAGGTGATGTGAAAAACCGCCTCAACAACATGGCAAGCCGACGGATTCCTGACAGAACCGGATTCACACCTGGTTGGCAAAATATGCCTGCCCGACAATGCGGGGCTCGTCTCAAGCAAAACACATCCCTCCCAGTGCTTCCAGGCAAGCCACTATAGAAAGGGTTTCCCCATGATGTAAAAACTAG